CTGTTAAACCAAAATAGTACATCTGTATAAGACTATAAAGTATAAATCAGTCCTTGTTACCTATACTTTTGGGTATCCTACAAACATTAATCAAATTAGCTGATTTATTTCTTAGAACAGTTCCAGACTTTTATTCTAGGTATGGGATTTCCTATTTCTAAGTAATATTTTTCAACTGTACATAACATTTAACTGTAGATTTGTGAACCTCCAGAATTCTGTTATATTATTAATTATTTAGGACTTTCAGATACTTTTAACGCATTGGGCTCAAACCATAAATTGAAATTTATTTTAAATGATTATATCCACCCATTCCTTTTTAAGCATATCTAATGGCCAAAAGGTTAACAATAAGCTGATCCAAAGTACACTATCATTTTTTGCCCAAGAGCTTCAGACGTAGCTTATAAACCATTACATGCATATCAGTTTCTCATAAGATTTAGGAACAAATTTAAATTATTCCCCTAACATCATCCATAAATTGTTAATGCCACAACAATTAAAAATGAAATGAAGAATTAAATCCCTGCCAGAATATCAATGGGATAAAATGATAACTGTCTTATTATGCCTATATTATTTTGAAATCAATCATTTAAATTCCTCAAAGAAATAAAAGTCAAAATGTAATACCATAATTGAGCTAGAAATCATAAAAGAATTATTGCGTGGCAGTCATAAGTGAGAGAAAAATCTAGAAGTATGAACAACCTATGGAAATTTTCAAAGTATTTTATCGATCAATTTAAAATATATGCCTTGTTTTGTATTTTGTAAACTGTCCTTATAGCTTTTTTTGTTCTATGTCTTTGCTGCTTTGTTATCAGCTTACACTTGTGAAAGAAAGATTATATATGTCTTTTATAAATAATGTAACATAAAAAAATCTGTATATTATATTTTAACCAGAAGTTCATACCAATATCCTTTAACAATTACTTATATTCAAATTAAGCTGTTTTTGAGTAAATTATGTAAGCTTTGCAAAGTTTCATCTAATGACGAATAGGGAATAAGCTTATGCCCTATGTAGTACAAGAAGGAGAAAAAGAATTGGTTTGGTTTTCTTGCCCTCTACAAACTTAAAAGTTGTAAGTGTGAAAGAATATTTAGAGAAGTTTTAAGCCATGATCATTACCCTAACTATATAGAAAATCTTTCTTTAAAGGAAAAAAAAAAAAGAATTACCAAGAATGATGACTCTCTTTTTAATGACACTTTATGACTTACAACCACAACTGAGGCCACAATTTCCACTACTAAGCAAGACAATTATAAAATGAGTTGCAGTCCAATTTATGATCTTTTTTGCTGCAATTGTTAAGTGAATCACTACAGTTGTTACGTGAATCATGCAGTTGCTAAGCAAAGCTGACTTCTCCCAGTGACTTTGCTTGTCGAAGCCAAGTACATGCAAAATAAATACAAGCATGTTGCCAACTGCTTAAATTTTGATCACTTAACCATGTGGATGGTCATAGGTATGAAAACTGGACGTGTCACTTTTCCCAGTGCTATTGTAATTTCAAACGGTCACTAAATGAATGGTTATAACCCAACGCTTACTTGTATTTTCTCATCAGAATGATGCAGTAAAATTTAGTACATCTGAAAAAAATAAAGCACACATATTTTTAAACAGGTTCCCCCCCCCCACACACAAATGATTTAGTATATAGTATCAACAGCTCCAGAATATCTGCACTGCAAAATAAAGACTGCACAGAATGTTGATGGGTGTGGAAATAGCTGCATTAATTAATCTATATAAGTGAAGACTTAGTTATGGTGGCCTTCAGTTGTTGGTGGTTATATATCTGAAATGCAAAACAGGCATCAATTGTTGTAGAAAAGACTGTAAAAATATCTCAATGACAAATAAATATACTTAAAAGTACAAGTCTATGGCATGTAGAAGGCTGTGCTTCTAATCATGGCCCCATTCCAATATTTCCAGACAGTAATTGAAATGCAACATCATTTTTAAAAGTGAGATGCAAGTTAATTAGGAGCTTAGCTACAACCTTCAATATTATATAAGCTATTAATATATTGTTGGGCATTATATTTTGGAAAGTGAATCTATACAAAGCTTGACAGTTTCTAAAGTCCTTCCCTAAACTGGGCATTCTCCAGATCAAATGAGACAATTCATCATGGCCAACTCGCCATGGAACAACTCCCTGCAGGACAATTTAACCCTTCAATTTAATTATTTAAAATAAATTAAAAAATATTTTAATTTTTTGTCATCCATATTTCATTCTGTCCCTCTTTTTGCATCATTTCTTTAATGATTCTATTTCACCATTTCTTGGATATCAGTGTAATTTTTGTCCCATGACGAATTGTCCCGTGATGAGTTGGCCGTGACAAGTTGGCTGTGTTGAGTTGGCCAATGGCAAATTGTCATAGACCCTTCTCCAGATGTGTACTGTAGATCAGGCTGGAGAATGTTGGGATTTGAGGTTTGTTTCTCTGGAGAGAAGGGTTTCTCTAGGTAGAGAAGGATTGCTAAATGACAGCCCCACAAAAAAAAGAAATAGAGAATTTCAAATCCTACTGTACTTCAAGAGGAAGGAAATAATTGAAGGTGGAGAAACAGCTGCAAATTTAGATGCCCATAGAGAACAGTTACAAGCCTTGACCCTCTTGAAGACACATGGTATGGCTCTTACAAGAAAGAAATAATAGACCCAATGTTTCATTTGGCAGAGAGAGATATCTCATAAAAGATCATGTTTAATAAGAGGACACTATGTTTTTGACTCAACACAGAGATCAGAAACCATGCAGCAACTCTTTCATAGGCCAAGCAACATTTCCTAGAGGTTAGTTCCGAAGCATTTATTTACAAGGTAGCTTCATAGAGTTTCAACAAGCATTCATCAATACAATGTAAACAAAAACCATTTCTCTATTGGCTTGCTTTGAATGCTGGGTATTTCTTTCCCTTCCATTTCTTCTTATCTTAATTTACTCCTTTTACTCTGGGTGCTTTCAAGTGACATGCTCCTCACCTTTAACCAATCCATGATTCATTCAAACCAATTTTCTGGATTCGCAGGCACAACAAATCATATGCCAAGACTGAGTTTGTAGAATTTGGTTAAAATGTGTCTGGTGTCATAATGTAGGGTCACAATGTGTTTCACTGGCACAGCCTCTTAGTAGCAATTAGAAAAGAAAGAAAGTTTATCAGGCATGCTGAGCAAAATTACTTTTTGTTGTTGTTGTTGTTAAAGGCAAATGAGAAGAGCTTGTATGTATGGTAGCAAATCCTACATCCAAGGGCTTCATGGCAGAGAGGGAGAGATGCCTCTATAGCAGGGGTCTTCAAACTTGGCCCTTTTATGACTTGTGGACTTCAACTCCCAGAATTCATCAGCCAGCATCCATAAGTCATAAAAGGGCCAAATTTGAAGACCCCTGCTCTACAACATAAACAAATGACACTAAATTAGTGGTTCTCAACCTTTTTAATGCAGCGACCCCCAACCGGTCATAAGTTGAGACTACTCAACCGGTCGTAAGTCAAGGACTACTCAACTGGTGCAGCATCATTTGCAGAATGGGACTTTTGGCGGGCTCAGCAGGGCAGAGACAGCCTGGACGATTCCTTTTGGCTTTTGAAAGCCAATAGAATTAGACTCTATTCAAGAGAGTCTATTCTATTGGCTTTCAAAAGCCAATAGAATAAAAGGGAGTAGCACAGCTAAGGAAAAGGGGGAAAAATGGCGGACTGCATTGTTTGGCGACCCCCATGAAATGGTCGTTCAACCCCAAATGGGGTTCTGACCCACAGGTTGAAAACCACTGCACTAAATTGATGTGAGAAGACAACATCTCTTGCAGATTACTTTCTTTTGGCATCATGGCTCCGAAAACAGAACACTTTTTTACTGTGTTTTATCATCCCCAATCTATTATTTTAGGTTTTAATGTTATAAATGTTTTATCTCTATTCTCACTTGATATGCTGTCTCTACACAACTTGAGTTACACAGTTTTGATTTCCTCCAGAATGCTTAAGGACTCTGTATCTTCTCTGAGACATCTTCCAGACATTTGGAAGGATAAGCAGCCTACAGACTTTGGGTGGTTGCAATTAGTGACTGAGAGGCTTGATCTGTCTTCTTTTCTTTGTTGATGATAGATAAATGACACTTCTTTAAGTAGACCTGTCTTGATTGCCAGTGATTTTTTTCCCCCTTATCTGTCTGCTTCCAGAGATCAGTACTGAAATTAAACAGTTCATAGGTTTATGTCGTTTAGAGCCACGGCATGGAGAATTGTTATCGGCCTCTTAATACAATTTAAACTTTCTGTCAAGTACTTCTTCACTGGATCTTGACCAGAGCCACGTCCCAAGGACTCACCCAAATACAAATCTAGATTTGAGATGGAGAGTAGGGACTGCTTTCTTAAGGAATGAAGCCATCATACCCCCAAAGTTGTCTTCCACTAAAGCAGGCTCTTTGCCCAGGTGGCGTAGCCTTGGGTGGCTTAGGATAAAATCTTAAAAGAAATATTTTGAGGAAGAAATAATAAGTTGGGGGCATTACACTGGAAATTTCCTCAACATGCTTGCCCAGGGTTAACCTGGGGTACCCTATTTTTGGCTTCTGTCCCAAAGTCTATTTAGGCCGACCAGCCTCCTGCACTGTCTCTTAAGAAGCTGGCAAAGGAGCCCAACCAGGTGCTCAGGGAGGGACGGAGAGAGGGAGGGAGGGACGTGGAGCCTTTGAAACCTTGCCCGGCGTGCGAGTCGCTTTCTCACTTCAAAGTCGGTGCAGCGCTCGAGAGAAGAGCGACGCGTAGGCATCTCGGACTCTCGCCCTCCACCGGGCGTGCTTGGCGGCGATGCTTCCTCGCCAGATTCCCGAGCTCGGGATGACGATGGCAGGCGGCCGCCAACGCCGCCGCAGCAGTCCAGCAGTCCAGCACGTAAGTGGCCAGGCTCGCGGGAGGCTCCTGACGCTTCTTGCGATTTGCTAGGCAGTAAACTCCCGGGGTGTGTGGAGACGGGGGACACTTCTCTCTCTCTCTCTCCACCATCCCACCACCGCCCGGTTTGCAAACTAGCCTCACTGTTGCGCAACTGCCAACGATTCGAGTGTGGCCTCTTCCTAAGTTTTCGGCCGCGCTTCTGGAGCGAAATGGATTGCCTGCCTCCTTTCTGATTCTTCCTTCTCTCTTTCTGAGATCCAGGAGAGGGTGCGGTTACTAATCGCACATGCGTCCAGATTTAGGCTTGTTGTTACTGTAGGGGGGGGGGATCTTCTTCCCTGTCGCCTCCTCGTTCCTAAATTTACAAATTTGAGCGCCAGATTGCCCGACTCAACCGCCTAGCTGAGACTGTTGACCTGCTGGGGGGAAGTTGTTTGAGGGAAGGGGAGAAGATGTAACTTTTGTGCCAGCCTTTCTCTTCTGGAGACGTCTTGCTTGTAGGGGAATCGAAGGAGCTGGGCTGACGGCACTGGGTTTTTCTAGTACCTCGCAGGTCTGGAAAGAGCAGCCTGATTTGGAGAGGGTGTTTCCTCCACTCGAAGCAGCGCCTTTTCCAGCTGTCTGGCGTTGGATGAGCCAAGGGGTATGTTGGAAGGACTGAAACTTTCTGAAGTATTCAGAACTAGTTATATTTCCAGGCTTGGCCTGGCCATTAACTAATCAACCAAAGTTTGGGTCAACGGGATGCAGGCACTAAAATTAATCCCTGGAGTTAGGGAGCTTAGGCAGGATCATACCAGGAAACTTGTTACTTGATATGCCAAGTTAAGTTACTTGTGCGATGTGAACACAGCTGTGGAGTGCCTGGTGTGTGTTTGAGGAGAAGGCATGAGTGTAAATCTTGGATTTTTTTAAATCTCCTACACTGATTCCTCACAGAACTGGCTGCTGTATATGTACTGCTTGGTTTTATCTTCAGAGCAGCCCTGCTAGGCAGGGAGAATTAAGGCAGAAAAATCTCCCAGGATCTTTTTTAAAAAGGGGCTTATGGCTTTCTTCTCTTAAAGAGAAGTTAATATTGACTGCTTGATATTTTGTTTCTTGGGTTGTACTTTTAACTCTGCCCATTATTTGGTAAATGTTTTCTGTGCTTTTTTAAAAAAAGAAATTTGGAAGATTTGGGGGATGTTGAACTATGCTTTTATTCCTGAAAATTTTCACTTTGACAAATAATAGTAAGAAATAGCAACAGTAGTTGCTGGTGATTTGAACCTGATACTATCTATTGTTAGTCTATAACAATGGATAGTATCAGGTTCAAATCTTTAGCAGGTTCCTGTTGCTACGGAATTCCTAAATGGATTGCTACGGAATTCCTAAGAATCTAGGCCCAGGACAACTTGGGGTGCCAATTTTCCAAGTGGTACTTGTTACTGACACTGATATATAATGCCAAGGTAATGTGTCTTTATAGATCCCGAGTCTCTTCTCCATATGTGGCATGGTACACAACAGATAATCTTGAACTCATCAGAGCTGTGAAGCCTAAAGTTAATGCAAGAAAACGATCAGTGTTCAGAATCCAGAAAGCTCCAGGTTCTAGGCTAAGCTGAAAAGTGAAAAAAAAAAAAATCCCATGCAAAAGGCAGAGGCATGATACAGTACATTTATGTACTGTTGCCAAGAAAATAATGCTCATGTGTGTCTATGGAGATTCTCAGTCATCCAGGTATAGATACTTTTTTCAGTAGGCAACTGGACTTTCTTGTGTTTCTTTGGAAGACGTTTCGCTTCTCATCCAAGAAGCTTCTTCAATTCTGACCAGATGGTGGGGAATGAAAGGATTTATATTGCTTGCAATATAATGACCATCTGTCTGCAAGCAGTATAGAAATCCTTCCACTCCTCACCATCTAGTCAAAGCTGAGGAAGTGAAACATCTTCAAAAGATGTTGCCTTCTAAAAAAAGCACCTTTGGAAATGCTGATATGCAATTTTAACTTGAATATAGAAGGACTGAGGATGCTTTTCACCTGGGACGAGTTGATCTAGATTTGTCATTGGTTCTCCGTTAGAAAGTTGATTTCAGTATTATATTAGCTTGTACCCTTCTTGAGAAGGATAGTATGAACCATCATCCACTAAAGGTCTTTTTTTCCTAGTTCTGCCAATCTTTTGTTGGCAAGTGGGCTAATAGAAGAGATCAAATGGCTTTTCTATTATAAATACATTTTTGAAAGTATTTATTTGACCTACGTACATTGTATTTATGTATATTCCACCTTTCCACTCAAAGTAGCTAACAGAAATAACATTTTACATAAATCTAAACAGTTAAAAAAGAGTTTTAAATTAACGTTGTAGTAAGCATTTAATTTATTAATTAAAAATATGACAGATGAGCTGTCTCTTCTTGGATTTTTCTAAAGGTTGAGATTGGGAAATTATTGCAGCTTCTAAGGAATGTGTTTCCTAAGTAACACAGGAGGAGGAACTTCCCATTTTCCACAAAAACTGAGCCTCCAAGGACAGGAGCATCATCAAAAGAGGCTCTCCTATAGAGCTTCCTGGATGGATAGGATCCTAACAGGAGAGTTAAAGATCAAAACAAACTCCTTAAAATGTACCTGATAAAACGAAATCTTATGTAAGCTTTGGAGTGTAGTGGTGATGAATGCACATCAAATGCTGCCATCATGCAACTGCAATGTTGTCAGTTCTGTGGCTTCAAGGTGCTTGTAACATACTTGGGTCCTTTTCACTAACTGTGAAAAGTAAATATGGATCCCTGTTTCTACTTCTCTGAAGGAAAAGGAATACTTAATAGAGCAGCACACAACTTTCAATAGTGGAGTTTTGGAACATGTGGAGACAGATGTAACTCATCTTTTTCTGGCTGATTAGAGCAGCTGTGAGTCTGGCAATAGACACAACTGTTTTAGTAGTTCAGAAAGAGGAACCAATATACACATACTCCTGCACATTCCAAAGAAAGATATGGATAGTTCTGGTGGTTATTTTTCTTTCTGGTCCTCTTCCCCTTATAGAAATATAAATGTTTGGTTTATGAATAATTATACTGAGGTAATTATATTCTATATGGGGTGAGGAGATTAAATAAAGTTTGGACTGAAAATAAACCACTAGACCCCCACTGAATACTAAGACTTGGACTAAACAATCAAAATCAAAATCAAGAAGAGTGGTGAATGATTGGTGAATGATCATAGCCAGTCCTTATGCAGCAGGTAACTAAGGGAACATAACTTTCAAATAATTTGGAATGCTGATATCACTCCTTTGTTGCCAAAAACTGTATATTATGGTTTCTCAAGCCTCTGAAGCATAACTACTCAAGTTGGGCATACTCCTTCTTGAAGTTCATCCATCTGGGAAGACTACTCCAAAGTAGGGGTACAGGCTGCCCCTTCCCTCACCTTGTGCTGATTTCATTGCTCATTTTGAATTTAGCATATTGATACCCTGCATCATCTATGCTTTGAATTTTTTTGATTTTATCGTATTTTCAAAATGTTGTTAATTACAGTTAGGCAATACTCCTGGTATTTTGTAAATGGAAATTACAGCTCAAACATAAAGAGATAATCAGTGTATCCAATGCCCCAAACCATAGCTTGGCTGTCTAAGTTAAAGCTTTGTCCTAAGATAGGAGTTGTAACTCTGTTGAATTACATGGTTGTATTTTTGGTCTACCATTCTCTGGATTTCTGAGCATAAAACTGTCTGCTATTTTAGATAACCCTTATAATGGATATGAAGGAAATGTGAAGGCAGTCAACTAAAAAAAAAATCAGATAAAACTACAGATTCAAGCAAACGTTGGCCAAGTTTTAAAAGTTCATAATCCTAAGATCAAAGAATTTAATGAAAGATTTGATTCCTTTGATCAGCATATGCGGTCAGTAGATCTGGGTGGATAGTCAAAAGCAGAAACAAATCTTGTTTTGCACTACTCTTTAACAACCCATCATAAGTTTGCATTCAGGCCAAGGCCAGCCCAAGATAAATTCGTTCAGAAAAATCAAAATAAGACACACTTCCCACTAATTACCATGCAGCAGAATCTATTGCAGCCTTAAAAAAAAGGCAACTGCTCAGTTTTCATATGAACAGGAAAAACAAGGATATAATCTTTTTAAGGTAATGGGATCTTGGTATATCTGCTAAGTGCTAAGATGATGTAGTACAATTTTGACTATTCTGTTTTGGAATAATGATTGTTTTAAATCTAGATATCAGGGAATGATCTGATTTAAGTTCCTTATGTCTTATTTCCCTGTATTTCCTTAAACCATGGTAAGATTCTTACTCAAGATGAACAATTTGTTGCGAAGTTGTGTCCGACCCATCGTGACCCCAGGCCTTCGTGTCCTCTACCATCTTCTGGAGTCCATTTAAGCTCACACCTACTGCTTCAGTGACTCCATCCAGCCACCTCATTCCCTTCTTCTATTGCCCTCAAACTTTCCCAGCATTAATCCCTTCTCCAGTGAGTCCTTCCTTCTCATTAGGTGGCCAAAGTACTTGAGTTTCAACTTCAGGATCTGGCCTTCTAAAGAGCAGTCAGGGTTGATCTCCTCTAGGACTGACCTGTTTGATGGCCTTGCAATCCAGGGGACTCGCAGGTGTCTTCTCCAGCATCATAGTTCAGAGGCCTCAATTCTTTTGCGCTCAGCCCTTCTTATGGTCCAACTTTCACAGCCATACATTGCAACAGGGAAAACCATGGCCTTGACTATATGTACTTTTTGTTGGCAGGGTGATGTCTCTGCTTTTTAGTATGCCGTCTAGATTTGCCATAGCTTTCCTCCCCAGGAGCAAATGTCTTTTAATTTCTTGGCTGCAGTCCCCATCTGTGGTGATCTTGGAGCCCAGGAAGATAAAATCTGTCACTACCTCCATTTCTTCCCCATCTATTTGCCAAGAATTGAGAGGGACAGATGCCATGATCTTGGTTTTCTTAATGTTGAGTTTCAAGCCAACTTTTGCGCAATTCTGGATGGCATTATCCCTGCAGGACTGTACCACATTCTTTTATTTAATACAGCACATAGATGAACTTGCAAACTTTCATTCCAGGACTGCCATTAAAATGCATTTTTAGAATTAAATACAGCTGTCACTAGCATCCAGTGAATGTGTTTTAGAACATTACTAAATGTTATTTGTACATTTCTGGGAACAACAGCTGGCTGGTCACTTATGCCTTGCATTTATCAATCTTAAAAGTGACCTAGCTGATCTTGAAAAGGGCTGTGGCAAGACTAGGAAGACATGAAAATACCTCTGAAGAATGCAAGTTATTTCTGTACTACAGGTAGACCTCGACTTTTATAACCATTCATTTAATAATCTTTCAAAGTTACAATGGCATTGAAAAAGTGACTGTTTTTGACATTTATGACCATTGCAGCATTCCCAAATTCAGGTCTTTGGCAACTTTCATAGGTTTATGATGGTTGCAGTGTCCCAGGGTCATGTGATCACCTTTTGCGACCTTCTGATAAGCAAAACTGATCACATCTCACTTGTGTCAGAAGCATCAAGATGCTTCAGGGTTGAGAGGATTAGCTGGCAATATCATGGTTGCCCAGGTACACCCAGTTGGGGGCTCCTTTCATG